GCGTAAGCCTTTAGTTCAGGGAAATGTGGCTTCAGAAGGACACACATGAGTGAAACCAGACCGGCACCCAGACTATGTCCACAGATAACGACAGGGTAGTGAGGTCTAAGACGTTTAGCCGACTCAAACATTTGCTCCTCCAGAACGTGTTGAACTATGCTCCTCGCCGTACGACACATTCCGCCATGCCCAATCATTTGCTTTTTGGGCGGGAGGTTGTGATCCTCGTCTCGCAGTGGCTCACCGGCTGCCACCATATCCACCAGAACATCGTCACCTGACAGAGTGCCCCGCACAATTAAAACGATAGCCTCAGTGACGTCATCGATCACTAGCATGATTGATGCGTTATATAACTGAAAGGTCAACAAGGATATTTCACGATCGGGACTCAAAAACGCAATAGCAAGTCTATGCTTGCAGGTGTATGAGTAATACTGCCTTTAATAAAAAAGGTTTTTGAAGTGGAGAAGCATCGCAAACTCACTTCAAACTCATTCGTTTACCTAACCATCGTGCTTTGTTTATTTATAAGAGTTTTTAGTCTGATGCCACAAATTAATAAGTTTTATAGAGCTTCTAATTTATTAACTTTTGGTATAGAGTTTTCTATATTTAAGTGCTCACAAAGCTATTTGGAAATCATTATAAGACATGGTTGGCGTGAAACTATCTTAGGTAGTTAGATAGATGATACATAGTCTACAATGCTCACTAGACACGTGGCTCACAGAATTCCAGACCTTGGAGTTAACTGTCAAAATTTGTCGCATTATGCTCTGAGTCATTTATTCAGAATAGATGATTTTACTCTGAATTGTGCCAAACTTTCTGTGATTAGTGTTTTGCTGTAATTGTGTTAGTAACTTATACTGGAATGTTATGAGACAAAAGTGACTAATGTAAAATTAGCTTTCTCGTAAAGATCAAGGCTAAGACTAGTGGATTCGGCAGGCGGAAGTGTATCTGGAAAAAGGTAAATATGATCCGATTAGAAAAGTATAGCTAATGCATGTGTTACTA